GAATTTTAGGTCATTTTTCAATTTTCGCATCTTGACTCATTTCGGAGGCTAGACTCGGCGCGACTATAACGACTTTCCATTCGTTTCTACTAATCATATCATTTGCAAGCGAGACATATGCCAATTTTTTTTTTTTTTTTTATAATTTATATATTCTCCTATGACTAATATCTTCTTAAATTCCGTTATCAGAATATATTATATCTTTTCATCTTGCCTATTATTAATTAATTAACGCAGCCAATAAATTGAAAAAATCTATATAATTGATTTGAAAATAAGATAATTACGTAATTAACAATATATAATCTATAGATTTTAGAAGATTTCAATTTTCCGTCTTAGATCTATATATTCTACTGAATCACTATTATATAGATAATCGAAATCTTAGAATTTTGGTCATATAGCCCAAATTTTCCGGCTTCCCTTAAATTATTCAAAACGCTACACATCAGAGAAACGTATAATCAATCTTAATATCTCGAATTTCGACGATCCGACCTAGCATATACGCACTCTAATAAAGAAAAACCACGCAACCAAATAATTCCGAGATATTTATTCGCCTCGCGCGTCTCTCGGAGATTTTTTAATCTTAATCCTTAGAAAAACCGAAAATTTATTATCGATTTAATTTCTACAAAATTAAATAATTGAAAATAATAATAGCAAAAAAAATCGTCAAGTATTGTTTTATTCAGAAAAATAATTTCAATCCCCCACAATATAAATTTCCTCTTAAATCTAAAATGATCATAAAATATAACAAATAAAATCAATGCAAATCTATGCAGCGCCGTGCGTTAACTAGAACGAAATACCATTTAAAGAATAAAGATATCCCGTGACCATTATATACTATATAAATAGAAAGATAATATAACCCACGAACCCGAATATAGACAAATTTAAATCTCCTCTCCCTTCTCTTTTCTCTCCTCTATCTTCTTTCCTCTCATTTTTCCTCGTTCTTGTCTCCTCTCCCCCTTTCTCGTCTTTCCTCTCTCCTTTCCTATCTCTTCTCTTCTCTCTCCTTTCCTCTCCTCTCTCTTCTCCTCTCTCTTCTCTCTCCTCTCCTCTTTCTCCTCTCCTCTCTCTCTCCTCTCTCTCTCCTCTCTCTCTCCTCTCTCTCTCCTCTCCTCTGTCTTCTCTCCTCTTCGTTCCTCTCTCTTCTCCTCTGTCCTTCGTCTCTTTTCTCCCATCTCTTCTCTCTCCTCTTCTCTACTCTACTCAATCTTCTTTCCTCTTTTCTCGTCTCTTCTCCTATCTCTCCTCTCCTCTCTTCTCTCTTCTCTTCTTTCTTCTCTTCCTTCTTCTCTTCTCTCTTCTCTTCTATCTCCTCTCCTCTACTCAGTCTTCTTTCCTCTTCTCTCCTGTCTTCTCCTCTCTCGTCTCCTTTCCTCTTTCCCCTTTCCTCTTTCCTCTTTCCTCTCTCCTCTCGCCCCTCTCCTCTCTGTTCTGTCCTCTCTCCTCTCTTTTCTCTTCCCTGTCCTGTCCTCTGTCTTCTCCCCAGCCCAAACCGCCGCGAGTCGTGGTTGCCGAGGCCGTCGTCCGCTTTGAAGTGGCTGCTCCCAACAGCGAGCAAATTCCGTGCCCCATGTTAAACACAAAGTGGGCCCGCTTAGCGGCCACGTCGTAGGCCGTGGCCCGCGCGCATCCGAGAGAGCGGATCCCACTGGCTATGCCCCAGCAACGGATGCTTTACTGATGCCTATTGATGCTATCAAAACGACAGGAAATGAAGCGGCCACGCTGCTTGTCTGCAGCTTTTGCCCTACCAATCATGCAAAGGCATTGTCGAAACAAACTCAACATGTGGAACTGTCGTCAGTCCTTCCGCAGCTGCCTCACCCAAAGAGCTTTGTTCAGTGTGGCGTTAGAACCTAGCAAGGCGCGAGAGGGGCAACCTTTCACTGCGGTGGCCTGCCGTGAATCCGTTCCAAGACAGCCTTGAACATGCGGTGTTGTAACGTTGAAGAAGTGGCTCCGGAAAGGTATCTTGACACCAGGCTCACGACAATCGTGTTTCGCCGCATGTGTGATATCTGGGTCAGGGCAATGAAGCATCAATGGACAAACCGGTACTGGACAGGGCTGACACGAAGCAGGTGCTGCTTAAACGTCGTGACATCTTTAAGTACAAAAAGTCAATGGCGAGTTTGCACGTTTTCAAGAGAAACCCCAGTGTGGGAAAAACAAGAGCAAGAGCTTGCCCCGACCGAAAATGGGGCAACACTGCCCGAGCTTCAGAGCAGAACCGGCATTCACTGATGTTTCTCTGTTCCAATCCAGGTTCCCCTCTCCACCAAAACTGCTCAAGAACAACTCTGCCCAAATTGCTTCTGGCAAAACGAGAGTTGCGGGTGAGGCCCACAGGCCCACCTTGCTCCGAAAGTTCACGAAGCGCCTCAAGTCTTGTTGGCTGCAATGCTCGGCTTGCAGCACCGAACGCTGGATGTTGATGCTGCCTTCGGCCCATTGCATGATTAACCGCTGGAGGCTCTCTGCAAGCGTGGCCAATGCTTTTGATCCGACGTCCAAATCTCCAATCCCTTCCAGGCTCCACTCCAACTTTAAGTGATTCAACTGGGCAACGAGGCCCACGGTGCTGCTGTGCTGCTTGAGAAATGCAATCACCACCTCGTAGGACTGATCGAAGAATTTCCTGAAGATTTCGAATTCAAATTGCGTGGCCGTGTGAAAGTAGCTTCGAGCACCAAAGTCATGCCAGGTTATCTTCCTTTCGCCCGTTAGGCTTGTCACCACCAGAAGATTTCCAAGGTGGTTGCCGTGCAAAAAGGCAAGGAAAGCCATCTTCTGGAGGTCCATCGTGTAGCCAGTCAAAAGGACCAGCAACTCCAAGATGTTCATTTCCGAGATCACCGCGTGAATGGGCGTTGCTCGAGACATGACTTCCACCTCCAACTCAAAGGGAAGCGGCAATTTTTTGTCAGAGCAGCATCGCGCGGTTGACGGAAGCATAAGGGAAGGAGCGGCACCAATACCGTGTCGTTGAAGCAATACGTGCATGATGCAGCAGGTCCTGCTATGTCAAAGACCCATGCCATTGACCACCTGACTTTCTCACGCCACAACAGTTCGGCATGGCCGCCCCTTCCGATGGATCGGTCTGATTGGCCACGAATGCAACGCCAAGAACAATCCTGACAGGAATGCCACTTCCACAAACCTGTCTTCAGCAGGCAAATGAGCAATGTGTTCGTGGAGCAGATGCAATTGTAAACTGTCAAGATCCATGTGTAGCCGCAGCACGTCAAGAGCGTTCACATACTTCTCGGAGCAGGCGCCGCCCACAAGTCGGACCCTAACGGCAACTTGGCCAGTGCCTGGGCAACGTGCGAATGTGATCGCGTTCCCCGCACCAGCAGCCCAGCTGCTGAAGTCCAACTGACACTTGAAACATGGCTGGAGGCTTTGGCAGGTGCCTTCGTCGCACTGGCCAAGCATCCCGGGACCTAGTACCGAATCAGCCCGTCACGGCACAATTTACCATGGCCATCGCAGCCATAGCAGCCATCACGTCTAGCAACGTGATGAGGCAACGAAGGTTTTTTGGTCCATTATGAACTCCCAAGAAAATCTGCTGAGCGAGCTGGCCAAAGCAACCACAGAATCGCAGACTCGGAAGGCTTCCCAGTCTAGTCCAATCTAGCGACCTGTGGATATCTTGTGCTGAGCCGAATGCATAGCCCTTTGACTCAAAAATGGGCTAGGTGTGGAGCACTGTAGCGAAGCCCTGAAACCCTATAAGGACTGCTGTAACGCCTCGTATGAGACATACGACTTTTCAGAAACCAGCACGCTGTATAGTTCGCTGTTGGAAGAAAAAGAGAACCTCCTGCCGATCGTAAGCCATGGAGGTCTGCCGCAGATTGCTCAAGCTGGGCAAGCAGTCTCTGAGGGTGTGAAACTGCGGTCGGGGGCGAAAAACTAGCCGAGCTCTGGCTACGAGTCAGCCGATGCTGAACCACCGAGCACTCCTCTTGTGCAAAGGCCGTTGCTGGAATGATGCCAGGAGGAGACCTTGGGCGGTAGGGTCTGGGACTGCGGCAGCGGTCCAGCGAAGTCGAGGGGGGTGCAGGGCTACCACGGGTGGTTATCAGTGACGCTCGGCCCCCTGATGAGGCTTTGCGCAGGGTGAGGCCCTGGGAACTGTCCAGGAAATGGGGCGGCACCGAAACCTCAACCCATTGTCCCCGTTGACGGGGGCTCTGGGGAAACGGAACGCTGCGCGATTTTTGGCAGCATCTCGGACTGTCCAGGGAACAGTATGCATAACTAAACGTGCCTCGCGAGAAAGTGGTCTCGATTTTGAATGTAAACCGTCATGAATCGCGTGTCCGAGCACAATGTGGTTGCACTGCTCAACAAATGGTCGACTTATTGGAGGCGGCGAGGTCGCATTCGAGCCATTGGACCGCATGCCTCTGAAAAAATTTGCGCTCTCGGCTTCTTTGGATATGGAGGCGTATTTAGCATTTCCAAAGCTTCTGAAACGAAAGCGGCCTGCGTACTGTCAATCAGTTTCTCAAAGAACGCTTCCCGTCGAAACATGGACCTCCATAGCACGAAGCAGTAAATCGCTAGCGTCACTCGAAACCAAATCAGGCATTCGAATGCTAACTGAAACGTGGATTGGCATGCATGATACGCCCGCTTCGATCAACGCTCGAAAGTATCACAAGCTTGAGAGAGATCGAAGTAACACAATGCCTTCAGCAATTTCACATTTGGACGTGCGGGGCAGGCCCCAAACCAATTGCCAGTGCCAGATGTTGCCCGAATGATGTTCAAGAAATGCCTCGCCACATTCTCGCCAGCTCTGAGCCCGTTTGTATTTGCTAGAGAGGCCAGCATGGGTGTGAAAAATCGTTGCTAGCAAGCTTTGTTATCAGCTATACACTGCAAAGACGCCTTTTTTGGGGACTGTCTCTTGAAGAGAGCCACTCAGCCGCAAAGTCTTGGACTTGCGGCCCTCAGAAGGCGACGAAGGAGATAGCGTTCACCTGCATGGATTCCGAAAGCGCTCTAAAACCTTAAACTGGCCCGAAACATACCCTATACACCCTCAAAACATCTCTACAAATGCACCTACAGAAATCTTTGCTTCTAAGCTGTCGCTATGCTTCAGCTTGCTTTTGGCTTCCTTGGCGCGGTGGCCCTCCAGCAGGCATCGGCTGCGGCCCGTCTTGGTGTCCCAGGTCCGAACCGTGGCATCCCTCAGAGCAGATTTTAACACAATCCTTTGTAAAAACCAAACAGCTTCCTGAAAATTCTCCAAACTGCCTTGCGGCTGTGGCCACGAAGGCGCCGTCCGCAGAGAACGCAGCGAAGAGCACCGAGCCCGAATGCCCCTAAGAAAGCTACGGAGCTTCGCGCATCCAATTCCTGGTGCTTCATGCATCTCAGGCCAGCGCTACTAATGTGCGCAAGCAATCCCCGGTTTGGCTCTCCCAAACCTTTGCTGTGCCTTGGTTCACACGTGCTTGCCCTGCTCAGGTACCACGCTGACACAAGCAGCTGCAGGTCCCGCGCGGTCCAATGAGGCCGTTAGCACCAGACGGCCGTCGCCGGAGAACAACGCGGACTTGGCAGAAGTGCGGTGGATTGCAGTGCGAGTGTGTGCAGACCCTGCAATTGGGGAGATCTGTAACTCGCTTCGAGGCTGCTCGCTCAATGCAAAAACATCTGTATAGAATCTGTCGACTACTCCAGCGTTAGAAAGGAAAGTGCAAATTTTATCTTTTGAACTCCTTTTGTTAACACATTTCTTTCCAAACCAAAACCGGAGGCGTGTGGATTGAGCTCAACATGTTTGAAGGAGCCACACATTTGAAACGGCTGCTCCCCCCTTGTATTTTATCTGCAGTGGTTCTGATTGCTCAGATAGCGGTGCCAACACACCTTGAGGCTGCTCACGAGTCCAGTTTTCTGTCCATTTCTTGAGGCCTGCTTTGCATGGGGCACCTGTAGCAGCACCTGCACATCCCAGTTGCAACGGCCTGTTGAAGCCCGGCCCAACACGAACCATTCACGCATGGCCAATCTTTAAGGTCCAGCCGCAGCTGTTACGTCAAAACAAGAACAGTGTTTACGTGCCGTTGAAACTCCGAGCTGTGTCACCTGCACCGTGTCCGTATGCCCATGGAAGTCTCGGATGCAAGAGCCCGCAGCGGCCTAACCATACATGAGAAAAGAAGGTAAGGAAAGCCCACGAAAAACACATCTTTTCGCACCCTTTCAGGGTTTGGCCTCCCAAAGCTTGGCCTTGCGATCCTGCGAGGCGGTCACAAGCCGCAAGCCATCCGGGGAAAAGGTCACCTGGAAAACAAGACGTTGCAAAAAAGGAGCGTTAGCAGCGGAACTTCTGCAACACTCCTGCTGTTCCAAGACCCAGGCGCAGGTCACATTGTCCTGCATTTCATGAACTGTCTCGCGATTCTTGCAATGTGTTGCCATGTCCACCCACAAAAATTCAAGAAGCAACCTGTGCCATGACCTTCACTCGCGATGTGCTTGGCTGCTTCAATCACAGGGGCTTGCCAGAACACAATTTAACAGAAGAGTTTCATGATGGGTTTCATGATGAGTTCATCTTTGCAGTCTTCGCGCTAGCTTCGCGCCAGAGCTAACCAGATTCAAGTCAGAGACTCCCATGGCACCTGCGGTGCTGTTCGTTGAAGACTGTGAGAATCAGGCCAGGTTTTGTGCGGTTCATGTTTTTTGTCATCATTGACCGCGAAGCGAATAAATTGGTGCCCTGATAGCCTAAAGTTTAAAAATCAGAAGATCGAAGGAAAGCGGTTTTCGTCTGGAAGTTCCAGGATGCATCTGATGTGTGCAGGCTGCTGCTGCCATTCTGCGTGCCGCAGAGGAGGCTACACCGATAGCTAAACCATCTGGTTCAAACTAAACACGGAATCTGATCCGCCGAATCGGGGGCAGAAGGGGAAGCCTTCCCGAGAGAATCCAAAGAGGCTTCACCCAACATCGCACCTGCAAAGCCTGCAAAGCCTAAGCTTACCAAGCACATTTCTTGCACTTGAAGGCTTCAAGCAACAACTCCCGCCAAAAGAAAGCTTGTTGATGCTTTGAGCATGTCCTCATGGCCTTCGAGGACTGTCTGCACCTTGAAAGAATTCGAAAGTGCAAGAAGCTGCAGCTGCAAGAAAGCATGGCCTGGCCGGTGAGACTCCAGATGGTGGCCGTATTGTCTGCACCTTTGAAAAACTTTTTGTCAATGCAACTCGTTTTCTGATCCGTCTGAGCACTGAGGCCAGCTGTGGCCAGTTCTTCCTCCTCGGGCGCAAAGCTGGCCCAGAAGACCGGGCCTTAACAGCTTTCAAGAGGCAGCTAGGCCCTGGCTCTTAAATTCGAAGAGCTGCTAACACCGCCGGGCAAGGTCTGCAGACACCTCAGAGCTCAGAGCAGAGCAGAGCGGAGGCAGAGCACTCCCTTTTTGAAGCCCGTTTTCAGCTGCTCTCAGCTGCCCACCTGCCGCTGGCAACTTCCCAAATCCTGGAGCTAATGACGCTAAGGCCGGCGGGTAGGTCGTGCTAAACGGGCTTCAGTAATCGGTAAGCGATTTGGGATTCAATTTGCGCATAGTCATCACCTCAAACACATTCCCTCTCAAAAGTCGCTGCCATCTCGTGGGGAAGGGTAATCTTGGGAGCAGAAGCATTGTCAGAGGCCTTGTGGTGAGCTGGTGCGGTAAATGCTGATTTGCTCATACGCATTCCTTTCCATTGGCGTAGGGTGTTGCGAGCCTGGCAATTTTTTGAGACCGCGTGCGTCTGCCCATCTTGCATGAGGTGATCGTGCTTTTCCAATCTCCCTGTTGCGTGATAATTCTTCAGTCTCTACTTTTGCGCAGTGTTGTTAGCTTTCTCACCCGCCGCAGCCGGCAAAGATTTGTTGCTGTCCTCAATCAATTGCTCTGTCTTCTCTCCCCTTCCCTCCTGGCGCTGCAGTCTAAGCTGGCGGTGACGGCCAAGGCTTCGGAGGCATCGAAAGCCACGCAGGTGACCTCAGCGGTCGCAAGCTCGAGGAATAGCTGGAGCTCGGAATCCTGGTCTCAGGAAGCGGACCCAGTCTTCGTGGCCCAGAAGCGTTGTAAGGCCTAAACGAGAAAGGAGAGGCCTTGAAAAAAAATCCGGACTCTCCCGCCTTTGCCGGTCAAAGTTTCCCAGACTTTGCCCGTGCAGTCGGCGCCTCGGAAGATGAAGAGAAAACGAATCTCAACCAGGCTCTCAGCAAAAGGGGGCGGGGGAAGAACAGGCGAATCGGGTCTCTCTTTCCGAGGCAGCGGGCTGCAGGTGGCCAAGAGCTTGCCCGATGCAGAGAAGGAAACGCCCAGGATGGCGTCGCTGTGTCCCCTTCCGGTGGAAAAGTGCTTTTCAGTGTCGCTTCTTCAAATTCGGGCCTCAAGGACTCCACGCGCTTGCCACTGAGTGCATCCCAGAAGAAAACCTGAAGTCGACGTCTACATTTGCGAAGTTTGGGAAGTTGGGATGTCCCCATGTCTGTCGCCATGTCTGAGCTTGAGGCCATGCCATCCGAAGAGGCGGATGCAAGGCCCACCTGGCTGTGGGAAAAGAGGCGGGGAGAAGACAAAATCGTTTCCACACGACCACACGACCTCATGGATCGGGGTGATCTGCACCACTGAGTGGTTCTGAAGCCCCGCAGCCTCGCCAAAAGCTTTGCTCAAAGCACTCAGGAGGAGAGCCTTGTACCTGGAGCGTATGATGCATGGCCACGTGCGAGCCCTCGAACCTGGGATGAACACTCGGAGAAGAATCGAAGCAACGCAGAACAGCGCAAAATCACACCCATTGTTTCTGGTAGTTTTAGACGCTGGGCTTCGCTGGGCTTCACTGAACCTCGCTGAGTTTCACTGAGCTGGAGACTTCAGGGCCAGGTGCTGAAGCTTGGCCGCGCTGCAAACCGCACCTCGTGTCACGTTAGCGATTTCGCGATATTTGAAGGCTTTGTGCTAAGGCGAAGGCTTTCATTATCCTTTCACCTAGCTCTGAGACCCCTGCGCCGCAGCGAAAGCATCGTGTCATCGCTGTACACGAAGACCTTCATCAGTGCAACCCACTTTCCTCTTCATCCCAGTACTCAAGCCTAAGAGCATGTGCCTCAGCAACAACCCCTTCCTCATCCTCAGCAACGACATGCAAGAGCTCCCGCTCCTGGCAGCGTGCTAAACTTGAAGCAAAAGAGCTCAAAACACACCCAGCCTCAAGCGACATGGCCGGCTGAGCTCAGGTTCGGGGGGGTTTCAGGCTTTACGGGTTCAGGTAGTGGGTTTTGCACAGTTCAGCTGTGTGCTTTGTGGGAGCTTTGAGCTGAAGGACCTTGACTTGCAAGCTGTCCTGCATCGACATATGGCCACCTCTGTGACAGTCCCCTAACACTCGAGCCACTCGGATGCAAGCATGATCATTTCAGCGGTTTTCAAGCTCTCTGAAATGTGATGGCAGCATGGGATTTTTTTTTTCGACTTTCAAGCAAGCCGTCTGACGGATCGGCAGTGGGAGCGAAAAACCGATGAGCTGCGTCACAGCCACCTCCGATACTGTCTTTCCGTAAGTCCTACGAATTCACTTTTGTATTGTTAGCATGATCTTACAAATTCAGAGGCTCCATGTGTGACGTGAGCCGAAGTAGCTGCCCGACGAGACAAGTGGGCCGTGAGGCATTAACTTAGGATAGCTTAGGCATGTGCAGCAGGTCTTGAGAATGCTTTGTAAGCACGCTCTACTAATGATCTCATTGCTGATCGGGCAGGAATTGTCAAGAGTTTCTTGAAACAAGTACATTGAGCTCATTGGGATTCACTTGCAGATGCCAGCGCAGCAAGAGGGTTCGCTCTTGATTCTCAAGAAGCTGCAGAGATCCTTCTTGTTGGTGACTCCGAAGGCCTGGGGTGCACGGGTATCCTTTATGTCCTTTCCCTGCATTTTGCCGTCCTTCAAGAACTCCTTTGACAGCTTCTCCTGGGCCCAGAGCAGCACTTTGTCGATGGTTGGGGTTTTCACACCAAGGAGCTCCGCCACACCGCGCGAAAAACACAAGCCTGTGGGAACATCCTCGCTCAAGTATCGGAAGTGGAAGTCGGGCACGTAGCCGCCCCCGCTCTCCTTCATCGGGTGGCACAAACCTTCATAAGCACTGTTGGTGCTCATGGCCTTCTGCAGGGTCGAGCCGTCAGCGATGCTGGTACTGTAACTGGCCATGTACCACTCCATGATCGTCTTCACCTCGCTCAGGTCGAAGTTGGGATCCAAACCTTTCAAGCCTTTGCAAATTGCCGTGATGTCCCCAGAAATGCCCTCAAGCACATCCGCAGTCTGCGTGTCCACACCATGGTAGAAGAGCGGCTTTTGGGCCAAGGGCTTCCCATCCCAGTTCTGCCATTTCCCAAAAGTTACACCCGGATGGATCACCTGGCCTGGGTTTCCCAAGCTGATGCTCATCACGTTGGGGCACTCGATGATCTTCGGCTCCACACCAAGCAAGCCCTGCAGTTTCAAGATCACATCCAGCTTCGTCTTCCCAACGGGTGGCACCACGGCTGCACCGATGGACTCCTTGGTGCCCAGCACCGTGGCCGTCTTTCCCCAATCGTTAAACCTGCAGGCCCAGGGCAAGGTCTCGAAGGCCGCGAGGCCCAGAGTGTCCGCTTTCTCTCCCATGACCTGACACGAATACAAACACATAAAGCACACACACACACCTTCTGAGTCAGATACTTCTACAAATGCTCCCCCAAAAGGCCTTCTTGAAGAGGAAGTCGCAGCCAGAGCGGGCCGGCATCACAGCAAAGATGGTGCCCTTCTGCACGAAGGGCTCCAAGGCTCGGAAGTACTGCTCATGGAAACTGCTGGGCACGGTGAAAAGCACGACGTCACAGTTCTTCACAGCGGACGGATCCTTGGTGATCAAATCGGGCATGGAGTTCACAGCCTTGTTCGTGCCTTGGAAGTTGCAGGTCATGCCCTTCGCCTCCTTCACCGCTTTGTCCCATCTCTCTGCTTCATCTGCATACAATGAAATGGAAGTGACCTTGTACCGACTCGCAAAGAGGCAGGAGACCACCTGTGCCGCGTTGCCACCGCCGCAGACCAACACCGAGGCCATCGTTTTTTGATCTCTCGACAAGCGAGAGCGAGGCGCTGTGCTGTGGGTGTGCTACGTCTGCTGGTCCTCTCTGAGCACAGGCAAGCAAGCTGCTTTTACAAGCTTCCGAACCAGCCCCTCCCCCCGACCCCCCACAAAGGCAAGCAAGGCTGACGTCGGCATTTTTGAAGCGTCTTCGTCTATGCATCCCGGGCCATCGATGCTGCAAAGGCCTCGGGGAAACTGTCTGCAAGCATGGAGCTTTCCGCAGATAAGAGTCACCTGCCTTCTCGAAGCGTCGGCACTCGTCGCCTCGGCAACAAATACATTCCAAGTTATCTCAAACTCTCGTTCCGGACTTGTCTTTTCCTTGGGCCCACGGCCTGAAATCGGGGCCTCCTTGGCTCTCGCGGCCTCGGCCTCTTCCTGGAGCTTTTGACCAAGCTCTCGGAGTGTTTGGGCGCCTTGGGTCTGTCTCGAGCTTGGGCTGCAAAGAAGGAGAAAGCGATGGAGAAGGCACAGAGCTGGGGTGCACGCGTCTGCATCTGTCTGCTGCAGTTACGGTGCCATCACTGTTCAGGTGATGCAACGTCATGAGGCGTGATCTTGTGGGACTTTTGGGCTAGAACATTATGATCGAACCGTTCAACCTCAGAAGGTAGCACTTGGTGGGCTGACCAGCTGCACAGAAGGACTTGGAACCTCCTTCCCATTGTCCCCCACCCTCACTGTGAGAAGGTTAGATGTTTTTGGACCTATGAGGTATACTTTCCTTTCCAACTGCATTCCTTCGGTGCGCTTGAACAGATTTACGCACTCCTCCGAGCCTCAGCACGCGTTCAATGACCTCCCACACTCATAGCGCATGCGCATGGTCTACCTTCTGCGGACCAAGCCTTGTCCAGTGTGCCGGTAATGTCGTGTGAGGACATGCTCCAGAAAGTCCTGAGATTTGATAGTGTTGACGAAAGGACTCCAGAGACAAGGCGGCCAAGGCGGCAAGAGACAAGGACCCTGCTCCATGAAAGTTGGCAGCGCGCTGCTCAGCGACTCAGGCAATTCCTTTCTCAAGGATCCAAGATGTGCACATCCCGCCCGGACTCGCCCAGAACCCTGGCATAGCCTCCTCACCACTTGCGCCATCTGCGCCATCAGTCTCTTTCTCATCTGCCTCCTTCACGATCCTGCTTCAAGAAATGGCTGCATATCTGTTCCAATGCATTTTCAAGGAACCTGCGCAACTTGACAAAGGAGTGTGCTGCCAGCTTGGCGGTTCGCATTTGTTGGGAAGCCTGTCATGCAAGCCGCCATGCGAACCTGGGGAAAGCGACTTTCTGTCCTTGCCTGTCGGCCATGGCCATGCGCTCGGGAGCTCAAAGCACCCACCTGGCGCGGACTTTCTATCCTTCTTCTTGCAGCTTTTCTTGAGCTTTCAGCAGGGGAACGCTCCAGGAGCCCAAGGCGGACGTTGAAGTTGCAAGGTACCTTGGATTAACAGCAGGTGCAAGGTATGTCGTTTTCTTTGCAAGTGCCCTAAGCCTGATGAAATGATCGCTGTTTCTGCTAGGATTCACAATGTTGACTTACTTTATTAAGGAAATTTCGATTATCATGATTGCTGCTATCATCATTGTTGCGTTTGAACTGCATCCCCGCGATTCTTGCTGTTGCTCTTGTACTTTTGCTATTGTTGTTCTGGCTCTCATTCGTTCGATTTCTGGCTTTTCATCTTGCTCGCGGATGACTCTCATCGTTTTCGCTGTTTGCCTCACTTTGATGTCACGCGCGAAGGCAATCATCGGCCCCCAAATTCGCCAAATTAGCACCGGCAACCTTTCCCCTGATCCGGAACCTCCCTTTCCTCCCCGCTTCAATATGTTCAGGGTCGCTCCTTCCAATGAGCGACCTGTATTGTTTTTGTGGGAAACCACCAGCCCTGTAAAATGTATAGTGCAGCGTACCTGCATGCGTCTTAATACCTCAAATAAAAGGAGTAGGTGCCGTAGCTGTGCCTTGTGGTAGTTGTGAGTGTGTGTTTGTGTCGGCTGCTGTACGTGCGCAAAACCTGCATCATGTCGGACGTTTTGATTCAATTTGATGAAGTTTTGGACACCGGTCGTGCCAAAATGTTTTCCAAGAACAAGCACGAACATGTCGGATGTTTTAACATGAGTTGATGAAGTTTTGGATCTCGGTTATGCCAAAATGTTTTCCTTGAACATGCAGGGGGAAGTGAGCAAGGTGGAGTCTGAGGACATCGTCGTCTACATAGACGTTAGGCTTTCGGGTTTTCCGAGCCTTGTTGTGGGCGGAGGCAGAGGCCAAGTAGAGGACATAATTGGAGGTCCGCCCAGGCATCATGACAGCCAAGACTTCCTTGTGAAACGTATGTTGCTTGCCTGGATGGTTGCTGAACGTGGTGCCCGCAAGGAGCGTCTACGTGGACCTTTTTTTGCCTTGGAGATGCCTTTGTCGCATGCCTTTTGGAGCAGCCCAGCATGGACACAGTTCAACGAGGAGTACGACTTCCCAGTGGTGGAGGTGTCCAGTGAGGTCGGCAGGTATGTCTTTGGTACGGACATGGATCTGGATGGCACTCCGTTGGATGCGGCTTTGGTTGCTGGACACTATACTCGTTCCTTAGCTACGGATTGCAGCTGAGGCTATGATGGATTGGCGAAGGCAACCAAATTGGGTGAGCGCAGCGAGGATGCAAGGAATCCAGCTACCATGACCGAAGCGGAGCTTCGAAAATGGGAGCAGCACGTCACACAAGGACATGTGCCCTACGATCGGCACTGCGCTACTTGCGTACGCACCGCTGGAACTGGCCGCGCGCATGGGCGCGTTCTAGCGCCATCTGCCTATATGCTCTCCTTGCACTCTCCTTGCACATCGCCGGGCCGTTCAGGGCTGGCGGAAAAGACGTCCCAACAAAAGGGATTTCGCTACGCTTTGGTGGCTTCCTAAACGCATCCACCTACAAGGACTTCGACCTACCGGAGAAGATGGACCAAGTAGATGATTGCGACGCAGATCCGTTGGAGCCAGAAGAGTTCCCTTGTGAGGAGGGCGCAGGCGTTGGTTGGAGTGACGATGGCGGTGGTCCGGAAGCAGAAGAGGCAGCTCGAAATGAGAGGTTTCAAGCCATCTACAAGGACATAAGGGATGACATAGACCACCAATCGCTTCACTTCATGGCGCCTTTGAGGACTAGAACCTGCTAAGAGGCATTCAAGCAGATCCGCAGCATCTACATGCAACTTCGTCGTGATGGGCTCCCTTTAGTCAGGATGCACGCAGACCGGGCTCGAGAACTACGTTCCCCAGATCTCTGTGAGTGGGCAGCATCCCGGGACATCCTGATGACAACGGGGGAGTCGCAATCTCCGCAACAAAACGGTCGTGCGGAAGCAGCTGTGAAGCAGTTGAAGGTTCGAACACGAACGTTGCTGAGAATGTCTTCCTTTCCTCCTGAGATGTGGCCTATGGCGGCGCTACGCGGTGGATAGGGCAACGGCTAGCTTGAGGCCGACCACTTGAGGAGGAGCCCAGCTTCGGCACCATTGTTCATTGCAAGGCTAAGATGTTCGGTGAAGGTGGCCGGTACGACTTGAAGGAGAAATGGACACAAGGCCGCTCTGTGGGCTGGGATGCCTCCGTCACAAATGGGAAGGTCATTCGCTTACACGGCGGCGGCTACATCACAACGTCCCAAATGCGTCCATACCTTGTGGACTCTGACTCCTTGGTTGCTCTTGACCCCATGGAAGCTCATGTCCCGCTACCAGAACGTAGAGTTCGTGGAAAGACAACTATCGGTAATAATAGGATAGTTACAAAAAGACTGCGAAACCTTTTTGGGCTTGACTTAAGGCGCCTGCGGGGATCCAGTGCAATTGTACACAAACTGATCTAGGTAGACATGACTGACCACATGGTGAGATTCACACTCAACCTGTTCTCTAATCAGTTTGAGCTACATGCCTACAGAACTACACAAGCTAAGTGATAGAAGATGCGTGCTTGCCAGCTTCTTCGAGCAGATCAAGCCAGTGCGACTTGGGCTCTGGTATTCCGGCCCAGTATGTACACTTTGTACATTAACTATGCTGCAGTAATATGCCATAACATGGTCATACACACAAGGGTGCTCACAACTTGGCCCTTGAGATCTCATAGGAACAAGTAGAAGGGATCTTTAACAGGAAGTCCGGTTTCATCGCCTTAGTAAAGCAATCGGCGACCTGTGTATGAGTGTCGCACCAGTCGACATGATCACCACCTGCTGGATAGTGATTCACAATCTTTGTTCCATCATCAAGGAATATGGCCTGTCTAAGAGCATTTAACTCTATCTGCAAGCGCTTGTTTTGCACACGTGCGGGGACCTCTGCATTCAGATGGTCTACCAGACTACGGCAATCGGATAGCATGACGTGGGGAACATGCTTCCTTGCAGACTCGTACCACTCTGAGCCCGATGATAGGTGCCCATACATTTCAGCGAGCGCGGCGGCGCGGATTTTGTCGCCAGCTTCTTGCGCATTTTGCCCTACATACCCTTTTAATCGTGGTGTTGCTATATGACACGAGGGCCACGTTAAATAAACAATTGCTAGGATCAGTCAATCGTTTCGCGGGGCACAGAAAGTGTATGCGTCTTTGCTGGGACTTGAGCTGAGTCTCTCCGGCAAAGCTGGTGTCCCAAGCTGTCAAGACACCTAGCTTCATGAAGTCTAGGGTGCCAGACTGGCGGTACCTGATCTTCAGGTCTTTGGTATCCAAGGCCATCTTAAGTACCTTGTTCGCATCGGTGAGCGTGGAAACCTTCGCTCCCTTGATGCTACTTTAGAAGCGAGACACCCGGTAAAGTATGTCTGGACGAGCTTGGCGTGAGATCCACGACAGTGATCCGACCACAGAGCGCAGCTGTCGCTCTTCTCCAGTGGTCACTTGCTCCGACTGCTTTCGACTCTTGTCGATGTCGATATAAGTCGTCTTGGTCGTGTTGTCTGTCACATCGATCAATACGTCTTTTCCATCTAAGCTAAATTGCTTACCGCAGAAAAGGAGCCTGCCTATTTCTCGCTTTCCTACCTCAAATCGGCTAAGGAGCTTGTCCATAACTACCTGTCCGGAATCGGTGCAGTTCCATAGAAGATCGTCCACATGTGTAGTCAGCACGAGATCTACTCGCCCATTACTTCTGTGATAATAAAAGGCAGGGAAGATGCGGCTAGCACTAAGGCCTACATCTAGCGCGTCGTGGTTCACCTTCTTCCAGAATCCACGGCCGGAGTCACAGAGTCCATATACCGGTACTCTGATTAGCAAGTATGCTTCCGGGTCAACCCCTGGAAGCCCGCCGCTAGGCTGTCGCATGATGACTATGCGATCTATAGGTAACGCCTGGAAGTATGCGTTCCTTATGTCCGAACTCTGAGGGGGAACCCCTTCAGCTACGGCAAAAGCGGCTACTATGCTATGGGTTTCCAGATCTGACGTGGGAGCGTCAGTCCTTACCCCAGTGGCATCCTCAAAATTGCCACATCCAACGAGCCTGGATTTGAATTCGGGTTCGAAATCCGTCAAGGCAGGTTGAACTGGAGGCCTGACCTGATCCTTCACGGACAACATCCCAAAGTTGAAAACATGTCCCTAGGCAGATCATGTTTAATACCTGGAACTTGGTGCCATTTGCATCCAAAACCTCTAAGATGTCGATGCCTAGAGAGTGGTTGAAGGAGTACTTTTCTGGCATCGCGACTTTGTGAGCGTGGCGCCTGGGGGCTACCTCCTCACGTTCTGCACATCTAAGTAGCTTGGCGCCGTCAAAGTACGCCTTGTCTACTCTTGCTGCACGGAGAAGTTTCACAAATACCTTCTGGGGACAATGGCCGAATTGCCTGTGCAACCCGCGCAGCGCCGCACGGATTCGTTGTGGTAACTGCTTCCAACCTTCTCGCCGATCTTGCTCGGTAGCGGGCAAATTGTGCACCGCAGCTTCGCCCGGGTCAACCCTGGCGACATCCTCTGATCCTTCTAAGGTATCGAAAGGAAGCTCTGATGGCTGCTCTAGCTCGTCATGCACCTCTGCAGGAAAGCCTGTAGCAGCTAAGGCCATAGCTGCCTGGTCCTCAGCGTTGTCCTTAATCCAGCTAATAAAGTCACGATCAAAACAATCATAAAATGATCTAGGAGCCATGCTAGGATAGCTATTGCAAGTCCATCCCTCAATGAATCAGACAACTCCTTATCATTGCTAGTGAATGACACATCACCAATCCCCACAACTGGGTGGACTGGGATAGCCACGATCTGCTGGCCGCCACTCCGAGTTCCTGCCGAGTGACAGTTCGACGCCCTTCCCCAAAGCCATACCTCCTCTTGCGCTGTGGTTAGTACCACACGAAAGCTTTGCGGTTCCAGGAAGGCTCCTTCGGTCTGACAATCAGCTTCGATACCTGTTGTGGCTCTGGCGC